CATTTCACAGACAACCCACCCCAACTGCACTGCTGTGAGACTCATCTCACAGAACTTAGAATGGGTTAGGAAAGACAGGCCTCTGCTTACCTTGGCAAACCGAGAGACTGAAGGAAAGGAATTTTATCAGCAAGAGGTGTGGCGTTCAAGGAATGTTGGTGATCTTTCTCCTGAAAAAAATTAATCATTAATAGTAAGTCCTCAGTAAAGTATAAAAGTAGGGTGAAAAGGAAAATCTTTACAAAAATTGATGCATTTTTCACAACTGGAAAGAGCAAAAAGGCAATTTAGACATTTCAATAAACATTTTCAAGCTAAGACTCTAAGGAGTGTGGCAAAGCCCAAATCACTTGGTTTCCTTTACTTTGGGTGCTGTGGGAGGGACCCTGCTGTCTCTTCGTGAGATGTTTAGGATGGAATCTTGGTTACGGGTGACACTTCCTTCGTAATGTCTGAGGCTTGTCCTCAATTTAGTCCCACACTCAGCATTCACACACTTGTCCTGCTGTTTTATTTATGGGGAAAAGGAGTACTTAATTATACTTCTATCCATTCTGTTCTTTCATAGATTATAAAGATTAACATGTCATTATAAAATATTTCAGCCAAAATGATCATGTGCATTTTGCTTAAGTGAACTTCTAATCCATCAACCTGTAATTTATCCTTTTTAAGGATTTTTAAGAAGATGAAGAATAACTGGAACATAAACTTTTTTCATAAGCCACAAATTCTAGGTGGTAATGGTGTTTTTGCTTTTTCCATAGTTTTTGCTGTGCTGAGAAGGGCCGAGCCAGCATCCTGACAGCTCCAGAGTGGCCTCCTGGAGTGGACAGCCTTGTGAAGTCCCTTCCCACACTGCAACTGGGTCCGTCTCACGACCAACAGACCAGGCAGAAGTGATGATCTGTCACTTCTGAGACCCCATTATACGAGACTGACCCTTCTGTCCTGGTTTCTCTCCAGGTCACTGGCTTTGTTGAGCCATAATGATAGCTTGACGATAATTTTGTAAGGGAACCTGAGCCTGAGACACCAAAATCAGATGCTCCTAAATTTCTCTGTAATTTCTCTGCAAGAAAATACATTGGTTGTTTTAAGCTGCTAAGTTTTATGATAATTTGATACTCAATAGCTTGTGACTAATATACCCATTTTTTAACAATGGATATTCATTTCATACTTTTCTTGGTAACAGTCACCTCCTACTAAAGTTAAGGTGGCATTATAAAACAGAAACAAAGTGTCTCAACTCAACTGTCTTTTGTCCAGTAACAGATCAGTACACTCTGATGTGCACCTGAATCAAAAATTCATTTTCTTCATCTGGAGACTCAGAGTGGAAGGTGGGGTGGTAACTGCTATTTGCCCTGGGAAGAGCTCAGAATGTTTTCTTATGTTTCCATTAAGGTTTTCCCCTTTTTTCAAGTGGCAGATTAACTCAATTACAAAAGAAAAGATGACAAGTCACTAACCATTGCACATGGCCACCAGGGCATTACCCCAGAAGAGGGGCCCAATTACAACAGTGATTTTGAAAGAACAGAAGGGTAGTGGAGAAATCAGGAAGAACATGTATGTCTCTCCCTAACCCAGAGAGTAGTGCTGATATTTCATGATTGCTGGTTTCATTAGATACAGTCATTCCCAATTCTCAGTCTTAACAATTGAGTGATTGATCACTGAGAGACTCATGATGCGACATCCCTTTTGAGATGATTTGGTCATTGGTTGAAACCTAAGGAAGAGGACAGTGATGTGGTACTATGAGCTGCAATTCTAAATACCAGCAGAAAAAGGAGAATCCGTTAAAACATGGTTATGGGTTTAGCAACTGAAAAACAAAAAAGCTGGTGGTGATTTGGGGAAGAGAAAAGATGACCAAACAAAAATATAAAAGGTTATCAATAAAAGGAAGAGGGTGAAGCTTAGGGTACATAAAAATAAAATTTTATAATAATTAAGTGTAAATCTTCACCAAGAAAAAAGACAAAATACAGGGGAAGTTAACGTAGGTGACAGTTCTAACGAGTGTTCTCTGCGAGCGCAAATCATATTCAGGAAGCAAGCAGGCGGAGGTTAGCTCTACTCACTGTCAGAAGGTTTGCTATCGCTTAGGAAGGGCTGCTGTTCCAGGATGTCCATTGGAATTTTAATACTTGGAACTTTTTCTGAGTATGGGCAGTCAGACTGTGAAAAAAATGCACAACAGTTCTTAGAATGTTTTTCATATACAGCCCTTCCTGCCTCCCAGCATCGATCAAATCTTTCATATTATCACCTACAGAATACTAAGGACAAAAGCCAACTTTTCAAATTCTATACCATCTCTCCCCCTCACATTTTGTTTTCGTCTCTTCTGAGTTTATGAGATTAAGCCATTAAAATTAGATCCACACCAAACAAAGATCACTAAACTGAACTATAAAGCTTTCCATAGCCGAGTCCTCAATCAACAAACCCTTCTGAGTTGCTGCATTTGTGTGAAGTGAAAACAAATTAAACCTAGGAAACTTCCTAAACTATACTGCAGTCCTGAAAGTCTTGCTTACTGCTCTCTGATTATACCTCCAGGAAATTCACAACCTACTTCTCTTCCACAACAAGTAGAAGACTGTTAACATCCCCTACCAAGGAGCCCTCTATGTAGACTTGAAAAAATATATATATTTTTGAGACATAAAGTCTCACTCTGTCACCCTGGGTAGAGTGCCATGGCATCATAGCTCACAGCAACCTCAAACTCTTGGTCTTAAATGATTCCCTGCTTTAGCCTCC